AAAAAAAAAAAAAAAAAAAAAAAAAAAAAGAGGGAGTTAGGAGGTGGGATGCCTCGGGACGTTACGGGGAGAGAGGAATACGAGCCATCGAAAACGGACTATTGGTCCAGTGGCATAATTCGTGCGCTTTTTCTCACGGTTATATACATGTGTGCGCAGCAAATCGAAATTCTATCTCTCGATGTTGCGTAGGAGGGAGCAGAAAGTGGTGGATCGGTAGAGAGTGCATGCGAACATCGTATTCGATGGCGATACCCGGCCTCGTATATATACGTGTACATAAACGGGCCATATGCGTATGCGTGCGTGCAGGTCGTATATGTACGTGTTGCTGCTGCAACTGAAACCAAATTCGACTGCAGAGAGGCTAAAGGGCTTTTTTTTATACATTGCAAACCAACCGTATGCATGACGCGAAATAAACGACAGTGTGTGCGCTGCATTTTCTTTCCTTCCGTATAATCCGGAAGTGCAAGTATGCCAAGTCTATCGTCCCGCTGTAAAAGGATCGACGAATTTATACCAATCGCTCTCACATTTTTGTGTTGGGATTTTCTTTGTTACGCGGTGTTTACACGCGTTTAGCGTTATTAATCATTAATTAATAAAGAAGACAGTCATTATTTTATAGCAGTATACATATTTTGTAAAAAATACGCATATCTATATCAGATTATCATATGATATTTTATGATTATGAAAAAAATCGTGCAATTGATACCAAAATAAGTTAAAATAGTAAATTAGAGATCAAATACAATTTTTCTTCTAAACGATCTTTTCAGTGAGATACATGCGAGCGGGATTCAAGAAGTGTGAAAAATGTACGTATATATATCTTACCGAGGCCGAGGTGAATACCAGGGTGCATAATTATCGGTCTACCTCGCAACGATGATTTTTACGTAGGTTACGTAGGGCGCAGACATCCTACGATGTCGTATTTCCGACTCGGACATTTTTCTATACGATATCGCCACACGATATTTCATTTTTAATCGTCGACAGTACGACGTCGAATCGGGTCAATCGGCTTTTCTTTCTAGCGGCATTTCACTCCGTCGTGACGTTCAATTTCCTTCGTGTAGTCGTTATCGCTGTATTCAAAAGACGAGCATGTACGATGTACGTGTACCACCGTGGCGACATGCATGGAAAGCTTTATGCGTGTATGCGGATACGATATTGACACGTCGGTCATCTGGTGAAAAAACCTCCAGTCAAAAGTAAAGATCTTCCGTGCACGCGGCTAGTTTACATTTAATATTTATTATATATTGAGTTTTATAATTTCGTGCATAATTGTGAATTACATATATGTCTAGGGCTGCCTCTTTTCCTCGGACACTGTCCTCTTTTTTAGGATGTCCAGGGATGTCCGGACGGATTTTCCAAAGGGTCCAGGATAATTATGAGCGTTCCGGAGTTTTAGAGAATTTTTTAAATTTTTTACTTTAACTCCTCTTCTGTGTTATTCTGTATTAGTCCTAATTTGCAGTAAGTGTAGTAATCCTTAAGCTGCAAGAAACTGACCAAACACAATTGAATGTGAGGAGAATAACCGACTCTATATATGATTAGTCAATTTCTTACATTAAATTAGTACCTACCACTAATTAACAATTAGATGTAAAATAATTATTCGTTTAATGCTCTGATCAATTTTACTTACCTACATGCATTTTTATATGCGTCAGGAATTTTCAGCGAAATGCCCGGAGTTTTTAGCCTGTAAGTTCTAGTTTTAAAAATTTTGACATAGCAACCCTACATATATATGTCGCAATAAAAAAAAACGACAATCAAGGTATTTCGCATTTACGACCAACGTACAAAACTATTCTCGAATTATTTAATCAAAATAAATATTCAGAAATGATATTTAATCGAAATTAATGTTCAGGTAACCCAATTCGTCATATCTGTTTAATTAATTTGCCACATAGTTGAATCATATATTAATATATATGAATGTCACTGCTAGAATGTTTCGAATTTTTTTCTGCTTTATTCTTATACAAAAATCACAAAAGCGGTTTACAAATATTTAATTAAATTACAGTTAGTGTTTTAAAAAATAACAAAGTTCGTTTCACGATGTCACGCTGATAATATATAATAAAATCATTAACTGATTTTAACATTTTCTGTATAACGAAAGTTATATTACCCCGAAACAATAATAATAAATTTTTAAAAAATTGTAAAAAATTTTAATCGGAGGAATACATTTTCACATCTTGAATCCCGTTCGCATGTATCTCACTGAAAAGATCATAAGAAAAATTGTATCTGATTTACTATTTTAATTTATTTTGGTATCACTGGTACCAGAATATTCTAGAGCAACTAGAGTATCGAACTTTAGAACAACAATCAGATTAAATATGTATTTAAATCAGTTGTATACAAATAGAATGGTATAATTCGGATTAAGAGCAGCAGGTACTTCAGTCTCTCGTACTTGGTGGAAAATAAGAGAGCCTCGAATGCGCTCTAAGAGAGGATCTTTCTATCTATAATATCAAAAATGACGACTCGTTCGTAACCGTGCCGGGGTGTAGAGTGCGAGTGACAGTGTTCCCTATAAATTTGCAAGAGGAGACTTTCGTATTCGCCTCGTAGCTTATCTCACGACGCGAGATGCCGACGAGCCGTGCTTCGTGCTCCGTGTTCCGTGTTCGTACGCCTTATCTCGATCGCAAGATTCGACTAGAAGGGTTTGTACATACGGATGACGTGTGGGTGGCTCATATCGAACTATGCAAAGTTACGCCGTCACGTCGAGAAGAGAAGTAGACGAGGAGCTGGAGGAGAGAAAGAGCGGGGGTGGAAGCAACGTGCGAGTATCGGTTCGGTTTCCGATGCTTGTCGCGAAGAAAAGTCTACGAGACTCGAAATAACGATAAATCTCCGCGGTAGACTGCGGCATTCGAAGCTAATTCGCTTCGAATCGATAAACAAGAAATTGAACGTGACATGAATGGCGGATTACATGCCATACGAATGTACGCTTTTTGCCCTTTAATACGATAATACGAAGATATGAGATATCTGTCTTTACACTTTTGAGCAGCACTTTCAATGGAATTGAATCAATTTTTTATACATAGTATTTTACTTAGATTTGTACTGATTCGATATAATTCCTTTGAGAGGGATTTTGATTTTGCGATCTTACTATTTCTTTTAAAGAATACTTTTAAAATATTCATCTCTACTGTAGATTTTAATCTATTCTTAAACGATTCTTTAACTATTTTTTCAACGATAATATAATTGCAAAATCGTCTAATGAGAATTTAATGTGTTTGGGACAAAGGAGAAGAGCCGTATTGTCGTTTTCTCACTTATAATCCAAACATAGCCGTACTTAAGCGATATTAAAGTCCTTCCGCTTGATAAAAGTCAAGCCAGTTCGAGTGGTGGACGTAGCAAACGGCAATTTCACGTGAGTATACGAAAAAAAAGCTTTTATCTTTCGATAAAACAACGCTTTTACTCCTGGCTCTCATCTTGTCTCGTCCTGTAAAGAGATCGCACGCAGAAGACCAGCATCAAAAAGTTATGAGATAGAAAGACCAAGTAATCTTCCCGACTGTTTTATTTTTGTATTAAAAGCCCTTCGATTAATTTTCCCTTCAATGCCGTCAATCTGTCCCGCGAAAACCGAAGAGAACCTATGAAACTTCAACTTAAACTATGATCTCTGTTATTATTACTATCTTTTTTTTCCTTTTAAAACGACTGACAACCGTTATATCACAATTACGATGCCACCTCGTCAATGAGTAGAGACTCATTATTCGTATTACATAACGATGCTACCTTCACTTTCTCGTTATCATACACTTCCGTCGAGAAGAAGACATCATTCTATTTTGCACATATATACAAGTATTTTTTTCTTTCTC